GGTAAATACAGTGTTCGAATATATATATATATATATATATATATATATATAATTTTAATAAATGTTAAATAAAAACCTCCTTTGAAATTTAAACTCAGCCTCAATTTGTTCTTACATATCTTAATATTTTTTAAGCAATTTCGGATTCGGTGTTATAAAATGTGTTCTGATTAAAAAAAAAGTGTACTGATACCTCAGAGTTAAGTTGAAGGTTAAATCAGTCGTACCAATGATTGAACGTGGTCGTATACTGACCTGATAGCTGAGTGAGCTAATTTCCTGTGGAACTTCCAAATCGGAGTAGGTTGAGCCATAGCAATATCCTTTTTATTGTCAGTAAACCAATCAACTAAATACAGTAATAATTAATTAATTGATTAATAATAGTAATGATGATAATATCATGATAATAATGATTGATGTTAATAATAGTAATAATAATGATGATAAAGATAATAATGATTGATGATAATAACATAATAGGATAGATGTTATGACGCAAGCCATATAGGAATAATATATACAGTACTAATTTTTTAATGATAAAGATGACGAAAATGGAAATAATAAATAATATATGGTAATAACCTAATAGCCAAATAATAAAAATAATACCGTAATAAAAATGATTAAATAATGATGATGAATAACAATAATAATAATAATGATAAAGAAGAAAAATATGATGATGATGATAATGTTGTCGATGATAATAATAAATGGCCTAATAATAATATAATATATAATATCGATTATTGTTGCGTATAACATATAACTAATTTTTGAACATTGACAAAATGTTAAATTTAAGATTTTACCGTCTTTATGTTGAAATATCGAATGTTATTTTAATATTTTTAGAAAATAATAATGTAGCTTTGATCAAGGAAGTATACCTCCTTGCTTTGACGGACTTACAGAGATAGAAACTAGGGCGTCCACTGAAATCGTTTGGTTTCGACAGCAAGGCTTCTTGTGTCAGTTCGTAATTGTTTAGTACCACGGCCCAGTTTGGTCCAACTTTGAAAGAAATTATGGGTCCATACTTCTTCGTCATATCTGTGAATGCTTCATGTGGTGGTGTTTTACCCATAAATACTTCAGTTAAGAATAAGATTGAAAATAAAAATTTAAAATTAAAATATCATTATTTTATCAGAATTAAGTGTTAATCCATAGAGATGGCGAATCCAGGAATTGTAATAGAAGGGACCAGAGAGGAATTTGCATAGATAGATGATCCACCCACCTCAGCTCCACCATGGTTGGGAAGGCACTCTGAAATGTAAAATACAATTTTGTTTTTTTCTCCATTATATTTTTACTTTGAAAACAAAATTAGTGGGGTGCATGCCCGACCTCCCCCGCCCTTGAATACGCCGCTTTAATACTAAAGACAGGTTTGATGTAGGCCGAAGTGTTCATTACATTTTGTTATGCTACAATTAGTCTAGTAAAAGGAATCTATAGAAAAGTTAGTGTCTTCTATAACGAAAACGTGTTTTTAAACAATTCATAAAAACGTGTAGATCCTGTGGTTCAACGCCCGGTTAGTATGCTACACCGCGATCAGCTTGAAAAAGGTTGAGAATCATGGTTGTTCATTATATAGTGTTATTGGCCCTACCTGACAGATTTCCAATCACTGGGTAGGGTGTTGGGCCAGGTGGCATTCCAGGTGGCCTCCTTATGTTCAAGTACATCCATGTTATTAGCAAAACGACTGCTACTAATAGTAAAGATAGACCGCTGGTTATATCCTCCAACATCTTAAAAATAGTATCCTAAGTAAAATAAATGGAATATACAGTTAGTGTAATAAGCAACATCCTTTTAACAGTACAGAAGGCGGTAGAAAAGAACAGCCTAGTCGGCAGGTCCCTCTAAAGATTTTGGTCATCTAAAGGTAAGCCTACCATTGTGTGGAGCTGGCACTTTTAGACCCTAATCAGTCCAGGTGGTTTGAACGGAGTCCAAAATTGAATGAAGTGTGCAAAAACCTCGTAAGTACCATTAAAATTAACGTAGTTCCAGGCCATTATTTGTTATCATCAGGCCAAATAGTGCCGACGAGAAAAAAAATCCTCGTTTATATTCAGATTTATATTTTCTCTATAGTTCAAGCTTCCTTGCTTTGCTTGCTGGCCGTGGAGGCTTGGGTGAGACTTGGAGGAAGTGTATATTA